TGATTTTCATTCCTTTTTTTTCTTTCTTTCTCCCAAGCCAACTGCTCAGTAAGAACTTTTATTACGTAAAGAATGTTGCACTTATACTTGTACTTGTACGAACGTGTGTGTGCGTGCGTGTGTGTGTGTGTGTGTGTGTGTGTGTGTGTGTGTGTGTGTGTGTGTGTGTGTGTGTGTGTGTGTGTGTGTGTGTGTGTGCGTGTGTTTGTGTGTGTGTGCGTGTGTTTGTGTGTGTGTGCGTGTGTGTGCGTGTGCGTGTGTATCTACCCATCTATCTATCTATCAATCTATATACCTATCTATTTATTAATCTATCAGTCTATTTATCTATTCGTCTATCTATCTATCTATCTATCTATATATTCATCTATCTATCTACTTATCTATCAATTTTCCTATTTACCTTTTTATCTATCTACCTATCTATCTATCCATTAATAGATATGTATATACCAATTGTATATATGTACATGTATATGAATAAGTATATGCATGCATGCATGTATGTATGCATGCATAAAAATATGTATGCATGCATGTATGTATGTATGTATGCATATATATATATATATATGTGTATATATATATATATATATATATATATATATATATATATATATATATATATATATATATATGTGTGTGTGTGTGTGTGTGTGTGTGTGTGTGTGTGTGTGTGTGTGTGTGTGTGTGTGTGTGTGTGTGTGTGTGTGTGTGTGTGTGCATACTGTAGTCTGCATATATGTATATATGTATGTATGTATGTATGAATGTATGAATACATGTATGTATGTATGTATGTGTGTATGTATGTATGAATGTATGAATGTATGAATGCATGTATGTATATGTATACATATGCATGCAAGCATGTGTGCCAGATGCACAGCCACGCGAAAAAGTTCGCCAACAGTCTTTGCCAGCAATATTGTTTCAAACAAAGCCTGCGGACGGCGCGGTGCTCGCCCACCATAGCAAGTGAAAAGCGAGGAGACATGCGTGGATGTATGTATGCTTGTGTCTATGTGTGCGTATCGATGTGCCAACGCAAGTGAGCGCAATTATGGCACCCGTACGCACCCGCCCTTTATCCGCTCGTGAAAAAATTAAGAAACAGAGCATATCTGAAACTGTGCTCGACCCATCGTCTTCCCGGCCAGAAGTTTCCGTAAGACAAAATCTTCATTTTCTGCCCCATTCGTAGCTGAAGAAATGGCTTCAAATCAATCCTTTGACCTCCTAATGAGCAATTAATTGAAGATTTTTCGTTTCATTTAAAAATTATCTCTGCCAATGCAAAGAGACGGGGGATGAAAAATAAAAAGGAGGAAATCAAGATAAACGATGACAAGAGGGGAAGAGGAGAAAAAGAAAATGAAAAGGAGGAACTAGAAAAGGAGGAGGAGGAGGAGGAGGAGGAAGAAGAAAAAAAAGGAGGTTGTGATGGTGGCGAAGGAGGAAAGGATGGGAAGGGTTAGAAGGGAAATGTGGAATAGGAAAAGAAGATGGAGATGAGCAAGAGAAAGAAGAAGAGGAAGAGGTGATGTGGTGGCGTAGAAAGACTTGGGGAATAAGAAGGAGCAAAAGAAGACCGATAAAAAATATGAAGGAATATGAGGGACAAAAATCGGAAGAGTAAAGGAGAGGCAAATAAAAATAAGACAAAGACGGCGATAAGGAAACAACAACAAAAGGCATGACACCCTACCCTCCTATCCCCCATGACCCAGAATACCCTATCCCCACCCCCTGGCACCCCCCTCCCCACCCCACCACCCCATCGACCCTCTCACCCCCACTCCTCATAACATACATACATCCATTAAAAAAAAAAAAAAAAAAAAAAAAAAAAAAAATACTGAGCACACAGACGAACACCGCGCGGCCTACACAGCTAAACACGCGCTCTAATCTTTCGCTATCTCCGCCAGCCATCCGGGACAGTCGAGATGCGACGCCGAGATAAAGCACGCAACACTGACGGCGAGGGGGGGAGGGAGGGAAGGGGGAAGAGGAAGGGAGGGGGGGGAGAGAGAAGGAGGCAGGAAGGGAGGGAGACAAGGAGGGAGGAAGGGAGGGAGAGAAGGAGGGAGGGAGGGAGGGAAGGGGGAAGAGGAAGGGAGGGGGAGAGAGACAAGGAGGGAGGAAGGGAGGGAGAGAAGGAGGGAGGGAGGGAAGGAGCGAGAAAGGGGGATGGGGGGATAGAGGGAGGGAGGGAGGGAAAAGAAATATGTTGATGGAATATTAAATGGAAGAGAAGAAGGAAGGGAAACAGAAGAAGGAAAGGAGAGAAAAGGAGGAAATAATAGAGAGGGAAGGAAGAGGGAGACAAGTGGGAAGGGAGGGAAGGGAAGAAAGAGGAAAACGGAATTGAAAGGCAGAAAAATAAAAAGAAGAAAATGAAAGCGAAAGAAGGAGGAGCTGAATGAAGAAAGAAAAGAAAAAACGGGACGGGGAGGAAAGAAATAAAAAAGAGGGTGAAAAATAAGGAGGGAAAAGGAGAAGAAAAGAAAGAGCGATGGGCAGGGAAGAAGGAGAATAGAAAGGAAGGGGGAAAGCGAGAGGTAGGGAGGAAAGGAGAAGGAAATTTGAGGAAGAAAAGAAGGGAGGAATGGGGAAAGTGAGGTAGAGAGGGGGGGGGAGGGATGGGAAAAGAGAGGGAAGGAGGGAGGGAGGGAGGGAGGGAGGGAGGGAGGGAGGGAGGGAGGGAGGGAGAGAGAAAGAAAGAGAGAGAGAGAGATAGAGATAGAGAGAGGGGGGGGTAAAGAGAAAACAGACCTAAAGAAAACCAGTAAACAATATCGCATTACAAAAAGCTTAACTGAAAAAAATCGAAATATACCCTAAGCAATCCAGCTACAACATTAATGATAAAACTTAAGCTTGTGTACTAAAGCAGAAAATTCTCATTGTATTTGAAAAAGCACTTTGCATCGACCCGGCGCCATTTGCATTCACAAACAGCAACAGCAGAGGGAGAGGACAGGCAAAAGAAGCAATTGCAGTGAAAGACCATTGCAATGGCCACCACTCGTACTCTGCGACGAGAATTTACTTTTGCTAACGAAACAATTTTCGCTTGAGAGAGAAATGGAGAGGGAGAGGGAGAGGGAGAGGGAGAGGGAGAGAGAGAGAGGGAGGGAGAGAGAGAGAGGAGAGAGAGAGAGAGGGAGAGAGAGAGAGGGAGAGAGAGAGAGGGAGAGAGAGAGGAGAGAGAGAGAGAGAGAGAGAGAGAGAGAGAGAGAGAGAGAGAGAGAGAGAGAGAGAGAGAGAGAGAGAGAGAGAGAGAGAGAGAGAGAGAGGGAGAGAGGGAGAGAGGGAGAGAGGGAGAGAGGGAGAGAGAGAGAAAGAAAGAGAGAGAGAGAGAGAGAGAGAGAGAGAGAGAGAGAGAGAGAGAGAGAGAGAGATATA